GTTAGTTATTACCATTATTATATTTGTGGGAATTTCCACTGCGACCTAGAGATATATTGTGTCTCCTTAATGGACTTATGTATAACACTCGATATTACAATGGCGAATATTATGTTCAACGCATGTAGAAGTGTTATTGCAGTGCTCGTCATAAAGTTCGCGAATATGGAGTATACAAAGACTTACAGAATTACAAAAAAAAATTAATAATAATTAAACGAAAACGATAAGTGGAAAGCATCATCATAAGTGAAAACTCTTGTGCAAACAGCATTTGTTCGATTTATAAAAATACCATAACTTCACACTTGTTGTGGCACTCAAGTTAGTGTATTTGTAAGTGAATTAATGATAAACACAAACATAACTGATAAAGGCAGGTCAGTGATCTTTCAAATATAATATATATGCTCAGCTGAAATAAAATATTCAGCTGATAGAGACAGCAAACATAACTATATAATCATAGAATTTTCACTTAGTTTAAGCAGAAATCATAAACATTTTCTTTAGCTTGTACACAAACCACAAATAGTGTTGTATATTCTATTAGTAACTAATAAAATAAAAGCTTTTAATATAATATTATTGTGCATTATAAGCAAAAAAACCAAAAAACATTTTTCAAAAGCCTTTGCAGTGAAATATATGCACAAAAAAAAAAACAAATTAATATTTAAAAAATCTTAATATTTCATAAATCTGAAAAAAAGTTCAGTAAAGTTAAAAATAAAAGAACATGTCGGAAAAGAAAAGCGTAAGAGAAGCGATGACACACTATCTCTCTTAAGCGCGATGCAGACTATCATTTTTAGATGTCATTGAAGTTGCGCTCTCTCTCTTACTCGAATTTATTCTAGCGATCGAACTTGAATATGCTCACATTTAAGAGTTGTCATACAAGCTAAATTTGTGAAGAATAAGGATGTTTACGCACGCTGTGCAACTATTCTTAGATTTTCTCTCTTGAATGACACTCAAAAATGATAGTCTGTAGCGTGCTTTAAACAAAACAGAGGTAAAAAAAGATCAACAATATCAAAAAGAAACTAAAATACCCATGCCACCTCCAATAAACGTGAGTAATGTTAAAGACTTCAATAAGTTTAGAAATCTAGTCTTAGAAAAAATAAATGGAATTGTTGAGTTTAAGGCTTTAACCAATAGTGATGTCAAGATCACTTGCAAAAATGAGAATGACTATCACCAAATTAAAAATGTAATTCTTATAGCAATACTTAACCATATTCTACGACCTTGGGAAAAGATTCATTATTGGAGGAGACTACAATGTCAAACATACTGTCTAAAAGTCTCGGCTTATCACTCCTGGTAAAGGCAACGAACTACTCGATAACATAAATGAAGCAAAATGTAATTATAACTCATCGCGTATAACTCATACTGGCCTACAGATAGCAACGAGATACCTTGCCTGGTAGACTTCTTCAGTTTGAAAAGGATTTCTTCTAATTTTATGGCAACTAAAGAGTTGGAAGATCTAACATCTAACCATACTTCTGTTCTACTAACCTTAAGTAGAAACCTTTCCAATTAGCACATAAATTGGGACTGATTTAAAGAAAACTTAGATAACTATATTGACTTGAAGCAGAATTTGAGAAGTAAGGTCTCGAAATGTGACTTTCTTCCTGAAATATCGAGGTTTAAACATCTATCATTAATTAAAAAAAAAAGGAGAAAGCAGGACATGTTATATGTAGCTAAATAATTTAAAAAGTTGCATTGGTCGAAAGATTATTTGAATAGACATTCTATTAAACGAGTGAACTGAAACTGTTATTTCTAATCTGTTCCATTTCATAAAGCGTTACAAATTATATAGGTTATATTAAAACTAAACGTAGTTAATAATAACTTAATAATAACGCAGTTAAATACATCAATTAAAAATACAATACCTTCAGCATACCGCTAGTATCATGCTGAAGTCATTCTTTTAGAAGAATTTAACACATTATAGGAAGTTTTAAATATTTGTATATGCAGATAACAGCACACCGCTTAGCTTGATTTAGAGAGACACACATTTATCAATATAATTAAGATGCTACATCTAACTTATAATGGGTATTCCGACAGAACACTGTCGGTTCTATGCTTAAAAATTTAATATTCTCTGAATATTAATTATATATAGGTTAGGAAAGAATACTTAAAAGTTCAATTGTTAGAAATACGAAGAAAATGTAACTGTTCAATGTAGCTTTGTCACTGTTCAATGTAAGTAAAGTGTGCATTGAACATGCTATGAACTTTCTTTCTGGAACGTCTCAATCTCCTACAGAACTTTATCTTAATGAGCATGTTAGCTTCAATAAAGGTTTGTTACGGTTTAAACACATTCGACTTCTATACAACATTTAAGACTTTAGTACAGGTTCCAAAGATTTGAACAAAATCGAGTTTTATACGACAACAAGCCAAAATTAACCTTTAGGATCATCATTATAACCAAATTTTTTATATCCACATTAGATATTTCATAATGATATTAATTTTATATAGATTTACCTCATCAACTTGTGCCTGCGTTTGTTGCAGTCGTTTTTGTGCCGCAATTTGTTGGGGATTACGTGGTCCTCCAACAATCTCACCATCTCCACCCTCACCGGCTGGTGCTCCATCAGCTGGAGGAGCATCAGATGCTGGTGCTGGATCCGCCCTTTAAACAGAAAACAAGTTTTCAATTAAAAATTTTATTTAACATTTCTAATTATTATTATAAATATTTTGTACATTGTGTTTAACGCTTATCAGTACTACTGTCAATATATTTACATCTCTAGCATTTTATTAAATAAGCAAAGTTAGATTATGTTATAAAACTAACATACTCTCCCTTATTTTTATCCTTTTTTCCCATATTAAAGAACTGAAATATTAATTGGAAATTATAATAAGAGTTTAATTAATATAAATTAATATTTTAAAATAGTTTGTAGTAATGAAGTGTATATCATTTCTTTTATAAAAAGATGTGATAGAATATTATCAAGATGAATTATAAGAAAATGGATATTTCAATTATTCATGATATAATATTATTATTCTCTTATCCCTTTTGTCAAACAACAATGGAAGATATAAGATAGCTTGGTCATGTTTTCCAATAACGTACTTTAGCGGAGAACGTACACTCCGCTACACTGTAAAGAAAGCACAAAGCTTAACCGATAGAAAAAGACCGTGGAATTAATCTCTGGATACAGTAGAAGAGGACATAGTAATCCTGTTTATTTAAAATTAACAAACCAATTCTATTGAACATGAAGTGACACTGACGCTTTGACTTAAATGGGGTTGTAATAGTTAAAAATAATGATAAGTCCCATCTATCCAATACAACCCAACCCAAATATACATATATTTATTGCTCTCTGCTAAAAAAAAATGGTTGTTTCTTCTTAAATTTTTTTCTTTTATTAGTTGTTATAAATGCTTGGCAATGTTTCAAAAATAAATGCGAATAAAATATATATTAATAAATAAAAATAAATTATTTATAATATAAGTATAAGAATGTGGTAAGTCCCGAACATAATTTAAAAAAAAAAATTATTTTAAAATTTTTAAACAAATATTCTTTCAATTAAAAATGAATACATATATTTGAAAAAAAAAAATTTAAATAAATAAACATTTTTAAATTGATAATTTAAGTACATACATAAATAATGGAAAATTTTTGGGAATGTATTGGGCAACCTTCAACCTTTTAGCACTTCTGTTTTGCCCATTTATTTTATATAATGATTCATTAATTTTTCATATGGAATTGATTCCACCATTAAACACAATCACCAACAATTTTTAATAACCATTCCATATATTATAAGACTTTTCCATATTTAAATAATAAAATCAATATTTAAATTGTCACACTTACATTTTTCTTAAAAACTGTGCGGCTTTATGCCAAAATGAGGAGGCAGAGAAGTGAAGAAGTGCTTAAGATTCCAAACACTAAACGCAAAATTTGATTTCCTTGCTTATGGCAACTGCGGCGGTGACTACGAAAGGCACACCACACACACAATGCAGTATTTGTCTTCTTCTTCCCTTTGTTGAATAGATTGCCTACGCGAGCGCGGTTAGAGGTACAATGTCGTTGTGGTGCGTATGTGTTGGAAGCTTTTCCCTTCTTTTTAACTGGTCGTATGTCTCAATGAAGTTAAAATAACTTTACACGGACACATACACACACGCTGTTAACCACAAAAATTTGACTGACACTAAAAAAAAACAAATATTTTGGTTATTTAAATAATCCTATTCTTCGATATAAAATGTAATTTAATATAAAAAAACATAAAAAAGTATTAAAAACAATTTAAATTTCTTTATATTAAATTAACAATACAATTGATTTTTTTTCTGAACTAATTGATAACCCAAAAATGTTTTTGTTGTATTTTTAAAAAAGTAGTTTATTTTTTATTTTGTTTGATTTTAAAAATTGATAATTGTTATTCGTATTGTTTATAATAAATATTCTTCCAAGTGATCTTTTTACATTTTTATTTGATAAGAACGTATTTGTATTAAATTTTTTATAATTTCTTATGACAGCAACGAAAAATCAATGAAATTTTTTTTGCATATGACGAAAAACGCAATATCTCCACCTTTTGGTGTTCAAAAATTTTACAATCAATATTTATAGTACAAAATTAATAAAAATCTATACAATTGCATGTTTTCAGCTGCTAATTTGTTATTACATTGTTTTTAATTATAATTTGATTTTTACATATTTTTTTATTATTATTAATTTATAATTTTTAAGGAGCACCAAATTTTCACTTACAATATATTTTTCCAACTGCGAAAAACTTTCCATTATTCCAATGAAAAGCTCCACCGTTATGTGTACTTGAAAATGTAATGTTATTCTAAGCCAAATTTACAAAGACAGTGCATAAGAAAGAGATGACTGCAATGTGCATATAACAGTAACTTATATTGCGCCATCTAATGTAAAAATACAATTCACGCATAAATAATATTTAAAATGTCCAATAAAAGTTTTATTTTACATTATTTTTCATTTAATATTAATTATTAATTATAAGCAAATACTATATATTTGTTATTTTAATTATAAATTACATTTAAGATACATCGATTTTTACATAAAATATTATTGCAAATAAATAGAAGTAATTACTATATTTTTCTTTTTTGAAATTTAAAATAACTTTACGAGACATTGATTTTTACATAAAATGTGTTTGCAAATGAATAGACGTCATTAAAAAACAGTATAAATGAATTAAAGTATAAACACTTTAAGAAATCATCAATTTCATTGTATAATTTTTATATATATATTTAATATTTGCTTCACAGTTATAAATTTAAATATTAATAAAATTCATATATTAATTCTATTTTTAAAATTTTAATTATTAAAATTATTATTATTCAATTAATATTTTACATTATAACGCAAAAATTTTGTAAAATAATAAAGAAAAAAAATGAAAAAGTTTTATATAAATGGGGAAATTTTGGTTATTGTGTATTTGGGTTTATTAAATAAATCATATAAATGCTAATTTTTTTTCGATTTATTCAAAGTTAAAAATTTAAAAAAGTTAATGTATTAAAACATTGTAATGTAATTAATTTTCAATATATTTATGGAAACGATATATTTTTCGTTTAAAATATTCGCTGAAGGTAGTAATTTAGATTTACTATAATAAACAAATTGTTTTTAATTGAAATATTCATTCTCTACACAAACTCTATAACTTCTCTATTTATGATCCATACTTAAATAAATTGATTTTGTACATAAACTAATTAAATCTTACACTAATCAATTAGTTCGAACACATAGTTGTTAAACTTGATATAGGTTAATTAGAACACTATATAAATTTCTACATTATTGCTTCGAACATGTTCAATTCAAAATTTTAATATAACCTATTGTTTTAATTAAATAATTTTCAGCGTGCAATTTTGAGTTTCTGCAAATTGTTGCATATGCTTTTACTGTTTTTACTATTCTATATAAATTATTCAAAGTTGCTTAAAAATTTAAAACAAAATTGTGTTATTAATTTTTTAGCAAGTAAAATTACTTTTCTTATAGGTCTTACGACTACACTAGCTATAGTAGAAGCAGATTTTTGGATACATTTCCACATGTTCAGTAATACATTAAAGATTTAGAACAATAAGTATTCCTTTTAAAACATCAAACTTGTTAAATTCTAGTCAATGTAGACGCCAAGTGACGTTACTACACAAACATCACTTGATTTCACAAGTTTTTAAAAAAATTTCGAAGATTATATATATATATATATTTATATATATATATTATTGAGAAATGAACTATAATAGAGATATAATACAGATATAAATACAATAACATATTTATTACTAATATATATCTGAACTTGCTGAAAAGTTGTCGATTTTACCTTTGTGTCTATTCAGTTATTTAAATTTTGAATATTTACTACTACTAATAACACTGAACAAAATCAGCTGTTTTTATTCTAAAAGCAGCGGCTGATGTAAACAAAAAAGTGTAGTTCTTCAAATAGCATTTGTTTTAAATTTATAACCATAACATTAAACATGTAAATATTTATACACTATAAAACTTTAAATAATATTAGTTTTAATAATATTGCCAATAATGTAATATACAATAGTAATTGCAGGTTCCAAAAATACTTCACCTGGGCTTCATTATTTACAGCGGCTAAAAATATTTGTAATCAATACAGCAGCTTCGCAGATTTCTTTATTTACATATGAAATTGAAAACGCCATGTGCGACAGATTGGAGCAAGAATGCAGTCGAGAAGTTGTTGATGACAAACGACCAACATTTGGGAACCGTTTCTTAACTAACGATGTCGATGTTTACACGCACAATGCTTGGTAAATATAATTATATACGAGTAATTGAAAAGTGTTGCAGACGTTATTTCTCTACTGAATGGGAATTTACACGCCATCGCAAAAAACCTAAAAGCGGCGGCAGAGTACTTACAAAACCAAGTGATGCTTTTCAATTTAATGCGTGGTATTAACTGACATCTAATTTTTAATTATAATATTTTTAAATACTTTTTACAGGGATAACGTAGAATGGGATGAGGAACAAGAGCAAGAAGCACGCCAAGCTGTGCTTAAAAATTCGACTGAAAAAATGTCTACAGAAAATCAACTAAAATATCAACAAGAAGCTGATAAATTTTGGGATACTTTCTATGATATACATCAAAATCGTTTCTTCAAAGATAGACATTGGCTTTTCACGGAATTCCCAGAGTTAGCGCCACAAAGCAATGACAAAGACATAAACTTAGCACCACGTACTATCTTCGAATTGGGCTGCGGTGTTGGTAACACAATTTTGCCAATATTAAAATATAGCAAAGAGCCACGATTAAAGGTATATGGTTGTGATTTTTCAGCTCGTGCAATTGAAATACTACAAACACATCCAGAATTTGATACAGGACGTTGTCATGTATTTGTTATGGACGCAACCAGCGACAAATGGACTGTGCCATTTGAAGAAAACTCACTGGATGTGATTGTTCTCATATTTGTTTTGTCTGCAATCGAACCAGCAAGAATGCAAAATGTGGCTCAAAATTGTTTTAAATATTTGCGTCCTGGTGGATTAGTACTCTTTCGTGATTATGGTCGTTATGACATGGCGCAATTGAGATTTAAAAGCGGCAAATGTTTGCAAGATAACTTTTATGTGCGCGGCGATGGTACAATGGTATACTTCTTCACACAGGAGGAGTTAAGGGATCTGTTTTGCAATGCCGGTTTTATGGAGGAGCAAAATGTAGTCGATCGTCGTTTGCAAGTTAATCGTGGACGTATGTTGAAAATGTACAGAGTTTGGATACAAAAGAAGTTTAAAAAACCAGTTAACAACGAAGAATAAGCGCTGACGATATTATTTGTATGTAATGATTGTATATTGTTAAATAAAAATTATTATTTGAATATAATTTATGTGTAAATATATTTTGTTTTTTAATAGAATAATACAATGCAGAATGGTATATAAAATGTTATTGATTCATTTTTATAAAAGTTTAAATAAATAATTATAATATAAACAAATTTATTTACGAATACTTCAAATTTTACTTTGTTAATATTAAATAAGCAATTTCTTATCAGAAATTTAAACTTATTTTCTCCCCATATACGAAGAACTGTCAAAGTAAGAAACACAATCCACATTCATTTCAAGTAGGGTTGCAGGTGTCTTTACACCATATGTGTGGTAAAGTTCTTCAACGGAATTACACTGAGCAAATTACACAAAACTTAAAATTTTCGTGATTGAAAAGTTAATTACAAATTTAATTTTATTTCTTTTTTCGTAATATTTTACAGGTTATGATAGTCCTTTTTTGCACACAAATCATTCATGAAATTATGGTTAATATTTTGATTAGTCTTGTATCTTCGAAATGTAAGATTGTGAAATTCGATATTCTATTAGAGTTTTTATTTCTCTTATGTCGTTTTCGATTGGTAAGTCCGGGTTAACTTTTTCAAACGAGATTCTTTGTTAGTGCAATTTTCATTTTTGATTGGTAAATTTGGAGTGAAATGTATAACATATGAGATAAATTTATAACACTTTAGATATTTTGCCAGAGTAACAAGATTACCCTAAAATTAATAGCAGTTTTATATAAAAACAGATAAAGTGAAGTTTGATTCGACATATGCATTTATAAAAAATATAAATGTGTACTCTAAAAACGTTTGGGTGGGCAACAAAATTTAGATTAATTCCAGATTTACTAATCGAAAACGCAATTCTAGTGCCTAATTTGGCGATATTATTTTACTAACATATGAGAGTGAACTGTCACGCAAGGAATCATATACTCAATATTAATTACAACCATGGAACGATGGAACCTTGTTGTAAAATATACATAATTATAATAATTTATTTGAGCGCACTATAAGCGAAAGTACAGAGACATTTTAACCTAAATTTGTAGCAGTTGTGTTTAGGCCTAAGCATTATCAAAACTTTTGTCTAACTAAAAATATTAGTGCTTTATAGTAAGTGATATTTTAACATATTTTCTCGACTAGTTAAATTTACCATACAAAATGCATGCATAGATATGTGACATAACTGTTAACTTATTCATTAAGTCTGTTGTGTTAATCAATGCTGCCTCGAACAATTCTTATGTAGCAATGATTGTAGCAAGTTTTATTGTAAATGAATCATATAAAAATTCAAATCTAACTTGTAGAAAAGAAATATTTTGAAAATTCACACAAATTATTTGGAAAATACGTATATATATATATATAGAAAATTTTAAGCATATAGGAAGATATTGTGATCAAAGACCACAGCTAATTTTTTAACTAAAGTGTTAAAAAGTTTGTGTTTTTAAGGTACACATAAGTGTATTCAGCTATAACTAATTTTGTTGCGAAAAATAAATGCAAAATTTTCTATATTTTTAATAATGCTTCTAATTCGTTATTTATTTTAATTTTTAATGTTTTTATATATATATAAATTTATACTACATTTAGTTTGCATTAAATTCTGTGTATGTACGTAATATTGGAAACACACTAGAGTTATATTTGTAATGTTAATTGACAATTGACAGCTAAAATTACAAATTAAAAGTATTGTGTGAAATCAGTATAAGATTTGTTTATTGATAACAATATATCAGCAGAAGGCTTTTTATTTTTGGTCGTATATCTGAGCTGTCCAATACACCTATAATTATTTTTAAATATCAACAGTTTTATATACAAAGACATTTTTCATATACTTATCATAAAACATAGTGTAAAAATTATTAAATTTATTACATAAATGAATCGTTATGTAATTACTACATTATAATACTATGTTCAGATACAAAAATCTCAATTTCATCTTCGTTTCAGCGAAATTAAGTTGTTTTTTCTAAACAAAATTCACTTTTAAGGTTAAATTAAGGAAAATGACCTAAATTTCCTTGAAATTAAAGAACAAAATTAAGATAATATCTGGAATTATAATAGGTGAAATTAAAGCACATTTCAAATGGAACTATGCGTGAGATAAATTTTAAGCAAAAGATAAGTTGAGATAACTACAAGGTGACAACCTTTGCCAGTGACAGCTGAATTTAATAAAATCGGAAAAAGTTTTAAATATACAGCAAATTTTTAAATTTGAATATAGAGAAAAAACTGTAATTGTTATTAATTTAAAATAGAGTGAAAAATAATAATTCACATAACTGAAATCCACGAAAGCTAATAAAACTACTACAACAATCAACTTTTAAAATTTCCCAGATATAAATGATGTTTGAAGCATTTAATTTTTAACATTCGATTTGTAAACAAAAAACATATGATTTCCTTAATTTTGGACAGTAAACTTTCGATATTATATTAATTTCATTTCATCAATATCAAAAATTTGGCTTTCTGAACATAGTATAACATTCAAAATAATTTTTTGTATTGTTTATATTATAAATATTAATTTCTTTCGAATTACACATGTTAAGCATAAATTGTGTAATCTGTGTACTCTATTTTGACATTAGAGTTTTGTGCACTGGTAACACTTTTCAACCAACAACAAAATGAATCGGAATTATTTTAGTTTAACGAGAAAATTACGAGACAAAAGGTTGAATCTCGGATAGTGACAGTTTCATTTTTTGCTACAAACGTAGTCTACACATAATAAAATAATGTAAATTTTAGTTAAAGTTTAGTATAAATTTAACATAAAAAATGTGTAACAAAATTTAAGTGCAACAATTTGAGAAAATCACAGTGAAACGTAATATTATATAAAATATATTAAAATAAATTATATTTATTTTTTTGCTTTAAGAAAAAAAGTAGCAAACAGAGAAAACAGTTTAATGTTGTTGTTGTCGCGCCCCAATTACAAATGTAACAAATGCAAAAAGATAAGAAATAATTTGTTTATAATAATAATAACGCATGTAAATAATCTTTTGAAAATATTTCCTATATGCAGTTAAAGTGAAAAAAATTTTATCGGGTTTTGATCGTTTGTACGCATTTTTTTTTTGTGTTACGTTACTGGCTGCAATTTTATCATAGTTTCCTGCCTTGCACACAAATTCTGCAACATACAAAAACAACGAACATAAGCAAGCGATTCTGTGTAGAATATCAATTCCACATATATGTTCAATATAAAGTAACCACACAATAACAACAACAACGACAACAAAAAATAATAATAACAACAACAACAGCAGATGAAAACATTTGCAATGTGAACCAAATAAAAGAAATTAATAATTGGAATTTCATTTAAAATTCCTGCGTTAGTGTGCGTGTGTGTTCTCCACAATTCTTACCTGTTCCGCGGCGTTGTTTTATCTACCTGCCTCGCTCGTTATTCTCCCTACATTTTATCTATCGGTTTCTGCCTATACAGTTTGCTTTTAATTCATTAATTCATTTTGTTTGTAATTGTTTTGTGTTTGAATTTTGTTTTCATTTTTAGAATTTTAAGAAATACATTTTCAATTTACTGCTGCAATTTGTTTCGGTGGTAGTGTTTCCACCTAACACGAAACCCCTTGGATAACAGATAAATTATAATAAAGCAAAAGCTAAAGCCATTAACGAATTAATTAGTAAATAACGTTTGGATTTAATTATAAAACTGGCGGAGGAAGTTACGGAAAACTCCAACAAAATGAGTTGGGGTATTGAATTATGGGTAAGTAAAGTAAACAAATTAGTTTCTAGACTCAAACATTTTTAGGGAACTTTATTGGTGAGCCCTTGTTATCATTATATTCAAAGTAATGATATATATAAACTCTAAAGCTTTTCTAATATTAACAAATCGTCAATGAAAAGTGATAAGATTTGCTTGACGATTAATCGAACGTTGGGCGGATATGGGATAAAACAAATTCTAATTCGAGTTTCTTATGTTAATTAATGTGAAATTATTAGTACCATTGCCCATGAATCGGTTACTTAAATTAAAAAAAATCTGAAGAAAAAAAACATTTTAATAAAATAAAAATAATTTTTGTTGTTGTAGTGTACTACTTCTCGAAACCTCTCTACCAAATATGCTAGTTTCTGTTAAATATAATAGTCACTTTCGTCACAACTGACGTTAAATTACAACTTATATTAAAAATAAAATGTGCAATATAGACGATAGAATAGAGAGGATGACGTCGATATAGTTTTAGTAATATTAATTTATGTTAGATCGTGATCCTGATGATAACTCTCAAGGATGACTCACATAATAAAAAGTTTGTGTATTATGATTGGAATAATAATAATTACTTATATATTTCATTCATGCAGTTCAATAGACAGTTCAGATAGGTTTTAGGACGTCAATAGCATGCCCTCTCATCGAAAAGAGTTCAATAACACCTTAAAGAGGAATCATAGTAATAGGATATAGAGTTTTGTAGCACGCTAGTTGACCATACAAATATAGATAAACGTGCCCTTATACTGTACTGAGAAATTACTGTGTTTTGATTAAGAGAAAAACTTTCTAACGCTAATGCAATGTACCGGGTATTACTTTAAGACTATGTATATACTATGTATATATAAACTTATGGATTTATGATGCTAATTTTTCAACACAAACCTGTCATCCAAGGCCTTATAGATATAGTTTAAGACACACTATAAATCGTTTCTTAACAGCTAAAGGCGTTAAAAGTTTGAAAACTTAAAAAAGTGGTGATTTTATATAATATTTTCCAATTTTTTTTTTGTCAAAATCCACTATTTATTGAAAAATCTAAGAGACAAAACCTATACTGAATTTATTCCTATTGGCAAAAGCCTGACAGTGACATTACAGTTTTTTCTTCGCCTCTTAGGGCACAACTTCTTCAATAGTCGTTGAAAGAATTCCCTATCCGATCACTGCGCCTATCCATAAGGCAATGTCATATAACATAGCAAGAGTATTGAACAGTGAGAAAATCAATCAGTTTCTGATTTCTTATGTGATTGTAGACAAGTCTGACAGTGAGAGATGAGATTCTTCTTCCTCTCTTAATGCACAATTTTTTCCATAATCGTTGCAAAAATTACAGATCCGATTGCCAAATCTGCTTCTATGACCATATTTTAATAACACAGCAACTGTATTAGTTAGAGAAAATATCAATTAGTCGCTGAGTTCTTACATGATTGTAAATGATCCATGCAATATGTACAATTTGATATGAGTGTTCTTAGTGCCGTCTTTGGTGTGCTATAATATTCTTCAAAATCACAAATAGAGAATTTTATTTAAAATTTATTATATATTTAAATTCTAGTAACATCGAACGTTCATTTATTTCCATAATATTTCTAAAATTTCTTTGTGTAAAGCTGTTATATTCGCGTAGCTTAATTCAAGTCTCAAGATATGGATGTCAAAAGCAATTAATTCGTAAATGAAATATGTATAAAGTTTATAACAGTTTACCATTTATAGTTTTCAGTTGTAAATATGCAAATTTATAATAAGAAAAAGGTGCTAGGTATAATATACAGGGTGACTTTACTTTGCTTCAGATTTTGAATTAAGTAAATGCGAGACAGGCTTCATTTAGGATCTATTTTTCAATATTATTTCTGTTACCCTACAATATGATCCCAAACTGGTTTATTGGAAATATTTGTTGTATATTCAGGGGAATTTAAGAGCAATAATTTTAACTTATAATTAAAATGTCAGATAAAGTAATTAATTACTGTTCTTACTAACTTGGTTTGAAAACAGTACAGTGCTATAATAAGTAAAGTTTTGCTCCTCATTTTTTAATAAATACATAAACATTTACACCAATGGAGATAATATCTGTGAGGTCGAATATTAAAATTTTTTTAGTCTTTGTATTTACATTATGTTTTCTTTTAAAGAACGGCTATATCACAACGTAATTCTAGAGTTAAACAATGCTTCCCATTTGCAGGAATTTTTTTTCGCACAATTAAGGTTTGAATATAGCCACTGGTTAAAGAATTTTTTATTATGTATCGATTCCTCTCTTTGTGTAATAAATACATTGACATCTACAGCAACGGATATAATATTTGTGGGGTTGAATATTCGCAAAACCTGTTTGCCCTTCATACCTACATATTGTTTTCAGTCAGATCATTATATCACAACAAAGTTCTAGGGTTAAAAAATGCTTTTCATGTGCCGGAAAAATTGTTTTCATCCAATTAAAGTCTGGATATAGCCTATATAGACATATAGATACATATATGGGGTTAAGAAATTATTATTACGTATAAATACGTCAGTTCCTAATGTGTCGTTAACTGTTCCTAACGGCAGCTAATCATAATGTGGTCTATTTATTTTCAAGTCAAATTGCACATACACATTTGGGCCTTATAGATTTATGGTTCTGATTATGATTGAGGTGATAAAGTTCATTTGGTTGGAGCCATGTTAGGTTCAATATTACCACCTACCTCTTTTGTTAGCTTATTTTTACATATATGCTTGATTACATTATGTAGGTTTGGATAAAAAATGAATTGTTTGAAAACTTATTGGGTATACTCGTTCATATGTATAGTATTGTTTATAAAGGGACAGCGCACTGTCCAACAAGTGGCCCCA